ATTCAAAAATCTTTCGGTGACGTTGAAACGAGCGCCGTACAGACATAAGAATGATATAACCGTTTCAGAAAAGGCCGCACATCAGTGAAGAGCGAAGCAAGACCTGGTAGACCCTCGACAGTCAGAAATGAGGTTGCCATTGAGCGAGTGAAAAGCTTGGTGATGCAGGATCGCCGAATCACGAGCTGAAGATTTGCGGAAGAGTTAAAGTTCAGCAATGGATCCGTACATTTCATTTTGGCTAAAGATATGAACCTCAAAAATGCTCAGCGAAGTTCGTGCCAGAGCTCCTAACGACTGAGTAGAAGTGACTCCGCAGCAACCTTAAAGTCATGTTGACAGTTTTCTTTGATTCCAAGGGCGTGATTTATCATGAATACGCAACCAAAGGCACACCACTTACTAAGGAGTACTGCCGAGAGGTTCTGTGTCGCCTTCGTGATGCTGTAAGACGCAAACGCCCTGACCTGTGCGCAACGGGCAATTGATAGCTCAATCACGATAACGCACTGGCACATTCCACATTTGGTACTATTCTGGCCAAACATAACATGCCAGTGCTGCGCCATGCTCCCTACTCTCTCGACATAGCTCCATGTGACTTTTCGCTGTTCCCAAAACTGGAAATGCCCCTCAAAAAGAACAGATTTCAGTCTAGAAAAGACATCATACAAAATGCGACGGACCAGTTATATGCCATCACGAAAAATATGTTCCAGTGCTGTCTCCTACAGTGACAGAAACGTTGGGAGAAATGTGTGACGGCCCAAGGGGACTACTTTGAAGGAGACTAAGGTAAGATTTTTGTAACCGAATAACCTTAGTTTCTATTAAGAAAGGCCGGATACTTTTTGAACAGCCATCGTACTAAGTGGGGGCAGACCTTAACGCGCAAAAGTTAGTACCATGTGAAGCAGCCTCCCAGTGATTCCTAGTTTAATCACGAGTGGAAGACAATTTTCGCAAAAATATATGCTCCAAGAGAACTTGTTTGTAAATGACGGAACAAAGTTACACGGCAAATTTATCATCTCTTCGACAAAACTATATAGGGCAGAGATGCTTGTCGGAAACCATTGGAAATTCCATACACCTCACGTCGTGCCTCTACCTACTTGCAAATTGGCTGGATTGGTTCCGCACTAACAGATTAAGCAGCTGATCTATGTGCTAGAAATGGAAGGTTTCCTTGATGACGTATACACGTAACTGTGCTATGCAAGGTGTTCTGGTGAACGCGTGCTTTTTATTAACGCCATTGATCTCTGATGTATATTGGGATTGGAAGTTTGCAGGCCGTCGCAACGAGACTGGACCTTAACGTGGTGCGACGGTTTGCGAACCTCACTGACCCATTGAGCTATATTGGGTGATGCCTCCAAGCCTTTTGAGAGCTATTCCTACCAGGTTGGTCAATAGTGAGAGGTCAGACAAACTCAGTCTCCTGGTCCTCCAGGTTGGGGGTTTGAAATGGGATGGCGTCCATTTCTGTAAAGTTAAAAAATTGCCACCACGCTGCTTTGCGGACAGGCTTTTGAGCCAAAGGCTTTAGTTGAGGACCCTAATCGTCCTTCTGTCTAGGTCTGGGCGCCTTCGCAGTATCTCAGCCCACATACAACCATAGCATTTTCTTCAGACATAAACTTCATGATGCATCGGCCGTCGCGCAGATTATCAAGGGTCGCCTTACCTGCTGCATACAGCAGGGCGGATAAGTGAAAACATGCTACTGTTAGCGCCTCCCTTCTTCTCCACTTGTTTCTCTTACTCCCATCCCGACCCCGATTACTAGCTTTCCTTCTAGAATTCCCAGTTTAATTGACAGCAAAGGAAGTGTCACTGGAGTAGAAGCAACTGCAACCACCATCTCGCGACACCCACTGGACGTTTATCAACAACAGTCCCTTATAAGGCCACGATATCCCGTTTCCATGGCGACGTTCGCACTCTAAGACAAACAGATCAGTAGGCTGTACTCGCACGCACCTTGGACACACTGGGTATTGATGCGTGTCCTAAACTAGGATCAATGACCCTAATGGGGTTATTGAATTAACTACACCCGGCTTATCCTCTCCTTATTTGTTGCACGCATCCGGATACGCCGATGCAGCACTCACGGGTCAAGCTGGTATAGGTTTCATTCTAAGCTCCAAAGTTGAGCCATCGTTGGTTGATTGGGTTCCAGTGAACAGCCGTTTATGTGCAGCCCGTTTGACGACATTTGCTAAGGTTGAGACACGAAATGGCATAAAACGCTGTTTGTGATTTCTGCTTATGCTCCCACCGACTGCAGTTCGAATGATGTCAAGGACACATTCTATCACGAACTGAACGCGTTACTACGCAGTGCTACTAGTTCAGATATTATAGTACTTTCAGAGGATATGAACGCACAAGTAGAGCAGCTGATTTCTTCAGAAACTCAGCTGGGTGGTAATTATGGGGTTAACTCCGAACGGACTGACAACAGCGAGCGTCTGCTGCAAATGTGTACGGAGCACCAGTTGTTTCTTAGTAGCACTGTTTTTAGACACAGTGGGCACCGAAGTGTTACTTGGCGTCCTCCTGTAACTGGCCAGCGATGGACCCAAATTGATCACATTGCCCAAGTTACAGGTGCCGTGGTTAAATTCTGAATTGTTGCTCGGACTGGAGTACCTGTGTCGACTCTGATCATGACTTGGTACGCTGTCGTTTCTCCATGAACTTTACCGAGAGGCGCATCAAGCATCTCCTCCAACTGGAAACTGAGAAATTGTCTCAACCTTTGGTCAGACAAGCATATCAAAACGCACTGCATACCGAACTTTCGCTGTCTTCTTCTAATGACACTGAGCTTCAGTGGAATAGGATCTAGGCCGCCATGCACGACGCAGGAGCATCTGATTGTGACACTATCCATCGTCACCGCAGCAGTCACTGGATATCCGAGAAGTCGGTGAACCTGTTGGAATCTAGAAGACACCTCCCGGCTGGCTTTTAACACAATGTGACCACACAGGCTATTAGGCGCGAACCAGAGCTGATAAGGAAGTATGGTGGACCAGGCGGGCTTAAGAAATGGAGGAGGCAAAGGCAGTAGGCAATTACCGCAACTTCTTCCAGCAGATCTGCAACATTGGTTCCAGAAAACCAGGCGTTAGTGAGACAATCAGAAACAGCACGGATGCACTGATACACAATAAGGAGGGCCGCATGGCTCGTTGGGTGGAACACTTGCAACATCAGTTCAGCTGGCCTACGTCTCCAGGACCTCTTCCTACTCAGATGATGCAGGACGAACCATGGACGGTTAGTTTAGAGCCTCCGTCGGAGGCCGAGGTCCGAAACGCGATCGCAGCCCTCAATCGTTTTCGTGCTGCTGGCCCGGATTCCCTCCCATCTGCACTATTTAAGGATGGAGATGATGTCCTCTGCAAAGCACTGGCCTCTCTATTCGAACGTATCTGGAAGCAAGGGAGTGTCCCGGCTAATTGGAGCGAATCGATTATAGTGCCAATATACAAGAAGGGCAGTTGCACAAACTGTTCCGTCGTGGATTCTATCATGGAGTGTTCCCCGACGAAATATCACGATGTAGGCGTTGAAGTGCTGTCTGGTGAAAGGTTAGTTGACCTCCTTTATGCGGACGATATCGTCTTGCCTTTCGACGATGTTGCGGCGGCACAATCAACCCTGTATAGCCTATCTAGAGCGGCCCAATTATTTGGTATGCACTTCACACCTTCAAAGTGCAGTGTTGCTGCAGGACCACCAGCCACTTTACAACCTCCTGACCCATTTTAACGAAGAACTTGAGGCGATCAATCGATTCACTTATCTTGGCAGCTGCATCAGCAACGATGGGCGCATAGAACCTGACCTCAGCTCACGCATTACAAAGGCCAGAGCTGCCTTCTTAAACCTGCGGCATCTTTGGCGACAGAAGGGAGTTTCTCATTGGCTGGAATGCCGTGTATATAAGGCTACAATTAGGGCCTTTTTGCTCTATGGTAGTTAGACTTAGCCCCTTCGGTCTAAACATCTGAGGCGCCCTCAAGTCTTTGATCATCGTTGTCTGCGAAGCATTGCTGGTGTCGGATGGTACCAGCGTGTCCGCAACGATGATGTGCGTAGGCGAGTACTTAATAGTGATAATCATGCTAGCTTTCTAGAACCACAGATAGCACTGAATAAGTTGTGTTCGCTCGGACACGTGCTACGTGTGCCTTGTCACCGCTTACCTAGGCGGGCCTTGTTTAGTCTGCAAGGTTTAGCGTGGTGCAAGGCTAGATGTGGACAAAAGTTGACTTGGCAGCGTGAAATTAAACCACTGACGATCACACTGGGTGCCGTTGGTCCTTCTCGTCTTCCGGGCTGGAGTCCACGTGACTCGCCTTGTGCTTGGCTCGAGACTTTACAGGACATGGCTCGCAACCGACACTAGGGGCGCGTCTGCTGTCGTCTCCTAGTCGAAGTGCCTGTTTAAAGTGTGTTATCTGCGGGGTAATGGCTGATTAGGACGCGGTCCAGTGAAAGTCGCAAGGAAGTTGTCTCGCGGATGCCGTCTTATCTTTACACGATAAGCAGCTGTTTGTGACGATATGTAATTAACACAAGGTGTAGACGTCTTGACTCTGAATGTTTGTTTAGGGCATTAAGGTTTTCAGGTAAGTCCCCCTTCTCTCCCTCTTATTATTCTTTATTCCATAGGTCATCATGGTTGTATGGCAGCGAAGCATCAGTGCAAACGGCTGATGTATTTCTGTTGTTGATTGAAAGTTTGTAGGAAAAGTATTAGTTCTAATAGGGAACGTAAGGAAATGTGATCCAGTAAAATGTGACACAATCTCGGTGATTATCCAGTATTCATACAAAACCATAAAGTGCAGATGTGTATGACAGGCACCTAAAACGAAGGCAGTCAATACGTATCAGTGCACACGGATACAAGCGAGATAAAAGGGAATGTTGAACTAAAGATAGTGCCCATCTTTACATTAAACTCAAAGACTTGCCTCAGTGCAGAAAATGATCAGTGATCGCTCTTTGAAGCCATTTTCCAACTTTTCGTAGAACTCAACATGTTTCATCGGAGGAGCTGAAAGGATGGATTGAGTTCCAATGCATTCGGTGACACCGCCTGTGAGGTCCATGAGGATCTCTTCCAGTCGGATCTGCTCCAGTTTATCATAACCACCAAGCAATCTAAAGACGGAGTGGGAGCCAAAAGGATGATATCCGCCGCAGCAAGTAGCAGGTTGCATACGAAACAACTTAAAAGTGCTACGGCGTAAATTCGTGGCTCCGGTCCCTGGCAAACGAAATGCATGTCAATCATTCCATCGTGGGGTGCTTCGAGCGGAAATAAATGTAAGAACGTGGATCAGGAACAGTGTAAAAATGAAGTCTACAAGCCAAGGTCGGTTAAAGAACTAAGACCTTAATTTGATAGTGTTATAAGCGCTGGTGCTTACTGAATGATGCGGTGACAGATGAGAATATGGAAACATGGCGAAGGCAAAATTGGGGAAAAGAGTTACATCTCAAATGTTGGTGTCAAGGTCAGGTCAATTCGAGTTACCCAGAATCGGAAAGCGGAAAACATACCGAATTAATGGTGGCAGATAAACAAGACATCGAATGTTCAAAAGCGCGTGATGATTGCACGTCCCAGTTTTTTTTAGGTATGCTCCATTGTCGAGCAGTGTGATTTCTAGTGGCACTGGGCAGGAGCTAGTGAAACCAATCTAGGATACATAGACGGAGGTGGCGGCAATTTCACACGAAAGAACACCATTGGATCGAGCGGACAAACGTTAGTTAGATGGTGACAGGATCAAAAAAGGAGACTGAGGCGAAAACTAATCGAGCGGAGGCAGAAAACAAATTCCATCTTCGGCGCGGAAACGCTGCGGATGATCTAGCCATCAAGGGTGACGGTTAATCAGCATCGCGAGATGATGACCGAATGGTGCAATGGGTAAACGCAAGAGATGAAAAACACCTAAAATCACCGCAAATGAGCGTTTTAAGATTGAGGCAATCATGTTCTGCCAAAAAGATGCAGCCGAATTTGATTCAAAAGCAGTAAACCCGAGGAAGTGACTCTATAATGATGAATCAAATTTCAAATTCGGCTACTGGAGTAACTAAAGTTAGAAATACAGGATCGACCTAAATAATAACGGACGCGGCTAAGCATCTTCTTAAGAGGTTGGTCAAGATAAAAATCGCAAACCATTCAGGTCGATTTTGTTCGCGAAGTATCAAATGGTAACGAAGATTGGATTTGAATCCAAGATCCACCACATCTTTATGCGCACAGAAAATAATGAGTTGACCGGTGACCGAAAGGATAGAGCGTCTACCCCGTAATTCAACGATTACTCGTTCACAGCTGCGTGGGTGCGCGCGGCCTCGCAGTACCTCTAGTCCGCACACAGCAGTGAAATGTCGATGCGGCGTACTGCTGATGTTTGTTTCCCTTTTATTAAATTAAATGAGAGCAAGTATACCTTGTGACATGAAGGGTGATGAGTTTCAGCCACACCAACTAAATAAATTAACGGTGTCATTTGTTCATCCGGACTGGTCACAAATTGGTTTCACGCGGCGAAGCCTCACACTCAGAACATTTGCAGTTGACAGCAGCAAGGATGATTATTAGTACGGGTGTACAGTCGTTTCAGTGAAATGTTATAGAGAATGTTACGCGATGTCCGCGCGCAACAGTGCACGACTGGTTTCAAACCTAGTTGATAGCAAATAGAGATAGCACGCTCTGGAACAGGGGACCTCTGGAATATCAACCGAAACTCCTACCCCTAACTCTAAGCCAATGAGTCGTGGAGGGTAACACATTTATGTTGTGACCCCATCAAGCGACTTGGTATAGGTTCGCTTCGAAGTGGTTTGCTAGTCTGATGGACGTTCTATGTCGCAATCCATTTGCACGATGCGTTTTTCAAAATGACTCCCCAATTCGAATTCGAAACGTCAAGTTAACATAATACCCAGAAAGATGGCGCTGTTGGTGACTTGCACTAGAACTACCGGTTTGTTACCCACAATCTACTAGTAACAATGTCAGACCAATCAACATCATCATCACCACCATCATCATCGTCATCATCAACTGCCGCACAACCACAGTGAACTAAGGAAAGAAAAGTAAAAGATAGAAAGGGGACTTGCTGGAAACGTAAGAAATTGAGGCCTTCAGCCACTTGATCAAAACAGAAAGAAGACATAGATTGCGATATGTCAACATTTCGATTGTTCTCCTCAGTCGCATACACAATACAAGCAGAAACATATACACAAATATATACATGGGAAAAATTGGCACACCAATCAAAACGTCAAAATCAAGACCAAGGCAATCTAATTGATTGCCTCAAGAGTTTCTGTGCAAATAGCACAGGTTGATAGGCCCTAATTAGCAACACTTCACTGATTGCCAACATTAGCGAGTTCCGGTTGCGTAGTAGCACTTTGAACGCAGTCTTGGGGTCCACATTGTGACCAGTTATCACGATGTATTTGGGGATAGACGATGACGGAATCCGGTTTATTATGGGGGGCGCTCCGGTTTGTTGCGTCATCATTTGTTCCACAAACTTTGGCAAGTGTTCAGGCACCCTCCGAGCCTGTGCTATGTGCACAGAAACTCTTGAGGCAATCGATTAGATAGCCTTGGTCTAGATTTTGACGTTTTGATTGGTGTGCCGACTTTTCTTATGTTTATATCTGTGTACGTGTTTCTGCTTGTATTGTGTATGCGACAAAGGAGAACAATCAAAATGTTGACATCGCAACTTGTGTCTTCTTTCTGCTTTGATCAACTTACCGGAAAATTTTAACGCCCTAAACAAACATTCAGGGTCAAGGCGCTTACACCTTGTGTCAACAACACACCGTCACAAACAGCTGGTCATCGTGCAAAAATAAGACGGTACCGGAGACAGTTTCCTTACGGGTTTCACTGCCCCGCATTATAATCAGTCCTGTAACAATACTTTGCACTTTGAAGGTAAGAAGCGCATGCCAAAGGATGGTTATACAGGGTTAATTGGGCCGCCCCAACATCAGTAAAAGCAAGACAATATCGTCCGTATAATTAAGATCAACCAGCTTTTCACCAGGCAGCACTTTAACGCCTGCATTTTAAGATTCCGTACAAAACACTATGGTGGAGTCCACGAGGAAGTTGAACAAAAACGGGGAAGTTTGGCAACCCTGACGAACGCCACTTGTTCTCGGGAAGGCATCGGGCAAATCACCGTAGAGCTTGACGCGGCCTGTTGTGTTCGAATACCGGGCACGTAAAATGTTCACCTATTTCATGGAAACACGTTTCCGCACAAGTATTTCGAACAGAATGCAACGATTGACTGATTTGAACGCACTCTTAATACATCCTTTACAAAACCCTAGACAGGTCCGACTTTACGTTTAACTCTTGATGGTCGAAGTTTTATAAGATGGTTAGTGCATAGCTTTTTGTTTTTCTGGACACGCACGTTTTGTTATCTATCGTAACAGCTGCCAAGTGCATTTGAATCGTGTTACCACGTTAGGCGAACGAGTGATATGGTGATGCGCAACAATGGGAAGCAGGGAAAGAAATTGTGTGAGCAACCAGTGGTGACTGTGAGAAACGTTACAGTATATGTGGGTACAACTGCATCAGTAACGGCGAATCGAAGCATGTAATGATCAGGTTTGAGGGTAAGTGATACACAAAAGTGATGGTGTATGATGAATGCAATGCGAGAGTTCAACGATGAAGAAATATGTGAAAGAAAACACACCAAAATTAGAGAGTAAAGATGCCGAAAAATTAGGGTCGTCAAGACCACTCGATTAATGGTACTGCCCAGTGGCGTAGAGTCAAATGCAGTATTTTAGGCACTCCCTGTGAAACAAGAAAGTAAAAAAACCACATAACGTGCGTATCAGAAACTGAAACGGCTGCACATCTCTTCAAACTGTTCTAATTCCTGTGTACTTAGAGGGGCAGCAGAAGTTGAGTGGGGCAAAAAAGAAGATTAACACTATAGACAATGGTGAATGACACTACTCACTTCGCATATGCCTTCTCGAGAATGGAGGGCCAAAATTCAATGGACGAAAAAGAGCAAGTACTAACTAACTTGCCATTCTGACAAGGAAGACGATCATCGACTACAATGTCGAGAAAAATACCATCTTGCCATATACGAACACGGAATATTCCGGGATGTTCTTTGGGATAGCTTTTATTCCATTCTTGTGAAGAGTGATCAACAAACACCTGTAAGAGAAGTGATTGGAGTGTCACACTAATTCGGTGGAGATTTACCTTCGACCACAATTTTGAAGCATATTTGAGGCTCGTGAAGGCGATAAGAACGTTAACGTTCGCCACGAACCCCTTTTTTAGACTAAAATATTCATCTTCCGACTTTAAACAAGGCCATTCCACTAACTCGGTAGGACGCTTGAACTCCAAAGAACTGGGATCGAAGCATAAAATATTCATGCGCTCCACAGGGAATTCATCATCCACAAATTGCACTCCCCGAGAAAGTTGTTGTTTTCGTAGGGCATGATAATCCTGCCCTTTGAATTGCTTGGTGTCATGAAAGAGTTCCATTCCACATCAAAAGCAGGCGATACGAATAAACAAAATAACTCAACGACGCCGGGAATAAGTCAACGTGAGCATGCGATTTGGAGTAAGATAGCGAGGTTACTCAAATGGACCTGGAAAACAGGCAAGTTTGGTGTGCATTTATTAAAACACTGGGGTGAGAAAAGCAAAGTGACAGGTTTAAACAGTGTAGGCTACTTGGGGTATATGTTGCTCAAGTTGTACGTTCGAGGAATCATAGTAAAAGTTTCTTCACAAGGCACTGATAGAAAATATTAAACATTTAGATGTGGTAGTTAACCGAAGAGAGAGCTAACGGAATGGCCAGATCTACGCAACACTGTAAAACAGCAAGTAGTTTGAACGCTGGATGTAGTGACAGTGAATATTTGGTAATCACGGTCCTCGATAGAATGGGTCCAAAGAGGTTTTACGAGAGAGCATCCCAAAAGACACTACCTTAACGCATCATGGTGTAGCACTCACTGTCCACTAGGCACGGGCTTGAGTGGTTTTAGTGGTTGACAAGTCTCATTACCTACAGGGGCCTGGGCACACAAATGAGAAACGCCCGGCGATTTCGTTGTGAGAAGTAACAGGTGTGGAAGGAAAACCATCATACTTCAGTTGGGTAGTGACAAGAAATTGAAGAAATTCAGTAAAACAGCGATGGTATGATCCGAGGGACATGCAAAAGACCAAGGAAATAGGTAGGCAGTGGACTGAACTTACTTTTGAAGGCAGCAATTAGATACTACTTTGAGGTTGCAGATAAACCGTTTGGGCGAAGAGTGAACAATGTAGTAGTAGTTCATGGACAAAAATCTAATGGTGTTTCCTGGTTCCCCAAGTTTACGCGGCTACCGGTTATCTGCGATTAGTGTCAATCCGGAAGTGAACTGACTGCTGGCTGGTTCGGCAACGCTGTACGCCAGCGTGCGAGTCTCAAGTTTCGGATCGAGGAACGCCTTCATTGTGAAGGTAACTGTGGATAAGTCTCAGCTGTTCGCAGGCGAGATGAATAAACAGTCGCGGACAACCAGCAGCAGCGTCCTAGAGCGTGGGGGACTCTCGGCTAGTCACCTGGTTCCACATTAAATACCACAAGAGCTCGTGAGACGTTGTGCCAAAGCAAATGTGGCCAACTATAGGGTCACTGATCACTCAATTCTGCGACCAGAAGCTAGTACTCAACGGAGGGCGGATGAACTACCTTGATGGCCATCGGTTTCTGTGCAGGCGTATGAGCCACCTGGTTGTCAACGGCCTTCATGCTTTCCGGCGAGCAGGTTGGTCTAGGAAATTTCTCCTGGCCTTCGTGGTGCTTCATTCAGGCTTCTTGGGCAGCCTGAGTAGTTTGTTCCTGCTCGAAAGCCGTGGTAGACGGTTCCCAATGGTATACGATATACGTCAATCGCTTCGCTGCCTTGCATGTCAGATCTTCAGACCAAAGGCTCCGAGTGGGGTCCCCTAAGTCAACTCTCTTTCTCGGCCTGGGTAACCGGGATGCTACATGCACACACAACACATGGACCAATGATTCAACGACTTTCTGCACTTTCTCTGCCAACGCTATCCTCGGCATGCCGAACATGCTATATCGCGCTCTACGGCACCATAGTTCGGTTGCTTAATTCCACGTTTGTTCAACTCCTCTATCCATGGTAATCACCCGTTTCTGATTCCCTAACACCGTGCCACTTTGGGCGAGTGTTCTTGCCATACGAATCAGGAATTTAGGTTAAAGGGTGTGCCGCCAAGCAGTACTGGAAAACCTTTTCTAGCTGCCCGTTCCCAATTCAAGCTGGCAACCTTTAGCGTCCAGACTCTGATGCAGATCGGAGCACAAGCAGCTCTTACTCGCATGCTTGAGACTACTGGCATCGATGTCTGCTGCCACGTTGAAACCCGCTTACAGGACCCAAGCACGACACTACGACTGGTTTCGCCGTCTGCGAGTTCCACTGGCATTTTCACATTGTGATTATCTGAGACGCAATTGCCGAATCCAAGCCAGCCTGTTAACCAATCTGCATAAGCGTTCGTACGTTGAAGCAGGCCAATCGGAACATCGATCGAGGTTGAAGTATGGCTGTCGATTGAGCTTTTCGGGTGTCGGTAAAACCGGGATCAGAGACACAGTTAACGGAGGTAAGATTGACAACGAGTGTAGTGTTGGCGTGTGATGGAACTTGGCGAACGACGAAAACAACAGAAGCAGAAGCGTGAAATCCATGGTTTTTCTCAGCGGGCATGATATCAGCCGGTTGCCCAGGCCGAGATAGAGAGCTGACTTAGGGGATTCTGCCTTGAGCCTTTGACTGAATAGCCTACCCGCAAGGCAGCGGGGCGAAGTCAGGAGATCGCGTCCACTGGGAGCCGGTGACCGATTGCACGGTTCCTACGCCTTTTGTTCGGCGATCTGACAAAATGGGGCCGTCCAACTAGATTCAGATTCCATCTGAGGAATTACGATGCTTTGCGGAAGCAAAGCAAGGGACGGTGAATTTATTTAGTGGCGAGTCACATCCGCCACGACACATTGTTGCTAAACAGACATTTGTGGCTTCTTATAGGGAGAACGCTTGCCAGGCGAAAACCCACCACGTCCTAGAACACTGCCACCGAAGTTTCCTCTGGAACGGGGCGAACCTGATCTATCCAGCTGGCACCACGAGGTAGTTCGGCAAGCCAGCCAATGGCCGTGAGGTGATCTCTAGAGCAGAAAAATATTAGTAGACAGGAATGGAAAGTAAGCCTTGCCGCTACGTAGGCTCGAACTCGCGCCGTCAGATTACAAGACAAGCTTGTTAGCTTTAGGCTACGGGCCGGCAACTTTGCGAACAGCAATCAGCAGGTCCTCGAAACACAGTACGCTGGCAGCAATCCTTAAAGCTAGTTGAAAGTGACCTACCGCTAACATCTAATGATAAGCCATAAGAGAACATTAATACACGGTAGACACGGTCAGGGAGAGTCCATTTTCCAGACTGCTTGGTGTAGTATGCATCTTGGCAGTACCATATTGTTGCCTGATCAGTTAGCTGTACTACCTGCTGCCAATTTTCGCGCTTGTTCTACAGCATCTGTTAGGACACGAAAGAACGTACCTAGCGGGACAAAGAACAGGAGTATGCTGAGTAATAACAGCAAACAAGCGCCATCATTTTGACTGCTAATCTTGTTTTGCCCCCAAATTTTGTTATGTACCCTAGATACACACCCTTAGCCTCGGGCATTTCTTGCGATATTGTCCCAGGTAGAAGTCTGTTTTTATCGGCTATTCCCACAGGGTGTTTGCTCCTAGTCGCTTGAACATCATGCGGCTAGCGAACTAGTGGGGAGGTATGTAGCAACATCATCTTATACTTAACAAGTACATGTATTTGTCACGCAAACATTGATAGGATATTACCCTAAGTCAGCTGAGACTTTTACCAGCTGTATTGACCATCATTCAAAAGGTACAGCCAATACACAATCGGTACAGTAACTTTGAAAAACAGTACACTGAGGCCTATTGACACCACACACCTTCCTTCGCAGGTTTACTTCTGTTCATCCGTTATTAATTTTAGTTTATACATCATCAATGGGAATACATGCTTCTAGTTTTTTGCGGCATCAGACAAAGACGGGGCATTATTTCTGAATCCACCACTTAAGAAGTTGCTTACACTAGTCTCTGGCTGGCTTACCGAACAACCTCCTAGTGGTGCCAGCTGGGTGGTTCGGGATTCCCCCGTTCCGCCCAATGGTTCGGCGGCAGTGTTCCAGGACATGGCGGGTTTTCGCTTGGCAAGCGTTCACCCTATAAAAAGTCTCATATGTCTGTCTAACGGCACCATCGGTGCCTTCGCAATTTAGCTCACATCTGGTGGGAACACCGCGTGAGCAACGAGCGTGTTTGACGCCTTGTTTACGGTACAGAAAAAGGAACTGAACGGCTCAGCACCGTTACTTCACGCACCAGGCTCCGAGGACTCGGCCACGTGTTACGCATGCCAGCCCACCGACGTGCGTTGTTTGCGCGACGGAGGTGTGGATAGAAGAGGAGGGGTGGCTAAGCGGTGACTTGGTCGTGAAGAATGAAGGCCCTCACTTCTGAGCTGGCCTCGGTTGGAGCTTCACGGCTCCTTGATTGGGGTCAGAAAGACGAGGAACACGTTTGGCTAGATACACTTGCTGACATGGCTAGGAGCTGACCTCAGTGGCGTTCGTGCTGTGAGTTTCTTTGTCCCTCGCCATCCCTTTTAGCCTCTCCCTCCAACCACGATCTCATTTCGTAGCATAATATAACTCTACATAATAATTTTTCTTATTGCCTAGTAGCCGGCTGGTAGCTTTCCGGAACGATGCCCATCCGTTGCTGGTAGCTCAGCTGGCATGCAACTGTTGCATTTACTCTCTTTTTCTTTTATGTATTTCGGCACAGTAGCTGAGGTGTTTTACACCTCTAGCTAACATGTATAGTGAATGATGATGTTTAACAACACTGTGAAGTGGTGGATGTGACTCGCCACTAAATAAAGTCACAGCCCCTTGCATCACTCCGGTGTAGCATTATACTCCAGGAATCCGATGCTGAAACAGTGGGGAGAATTGGGACTCCGTTTGGCAAGCGTCCAAACGAAAGTTGTATGAACTGAGTAATCGGTCACCGGCTCCCAATGGGCGCGATTCCCTTAATTCGCTGCGCTGCCTTGAGGGTAGGCTATTCAGCCAAAGGCACGAGGTGGTGCCTCCTAAGATAACTCCCTACTTCGACTTGGGCAAGCGGGTAGTATCTCGCCCGCCGACAAAACTATCGATGCCGCAACTACTAATACTATGTCGTTCACAACCCACTCCTGCGATCCTCACTACTTACGCACCTGTCACACGCCAATCCTAGGCTCGTCAACAATTCCTTTGAATCCTCCTCTGACGACAGTCTCGCCCATGTCCGAAGAGTCCGACCAGTGGCCCTCCTTCGGCCTCGTTCTGTTTCGGCTGGTAGCCTTCAAGGTTAGAACCCTTATGTATATCGGACAACAAGCCGACCTCGCTACTGATGTCTGTTGTCTTTCTGAGACTCGGTTACAGGACTCTAGCACCGTAGTTAAGTTGACGTC